AAAAAAGAAAACTATAGACCCATATCCTTAATGAACATAGATGCAAGAATTCTCAACAAGATACTTGCAAACCGCATACAGACACACATCAAAAAGATCATCCACCATGACCAAGTCGGCTTTATCCCAGAGATGCAGGGATGGTTCAATATACGTAAGTCAATAAACGACATAAATCATATAAATGGACTCAAAGACAAGAACCACATGGTTATCTCGACAGATGCAGAGATGGCCTTTAACAAAATTCAGCATGCATTTATGTTCAAAGTCCTAGAGAGAAGTTGACTGGAGGGAACATACCTCAACATAGTTAAAGCCATGTATAGCAAACCCACAGCCAACATTATTCTAAATGGATAAAAACTGGAAGCATTCCCATTGAAATCAGGTACCAGACAAGGCTATCCACTATCTCCACTTCTCTTTAACACAGTGCTTGAAACTCTTGCAACAGCAATAAGACAAGAACAGGATATTAAAGGAGTAATAATTGGAAAAGAAGAGATCAAATTATCCCTTTTCGCAGATGATATGATATTATATCTGAGAGATGCCAAATATTCCACTGGAAAACTCCTAGAAATTATTAACACGTTCAGTAAAGTGGCAGGTTACAAAAGTCTGTAGCCTTTCTATAAACCAATAACAAGCAATCAGAGAAAGAGCTCATGGAAACACTCCCCTTCACTATAGTTGCAAAAAAATAAAATAAAATATCAAGGAATAAACCCGACCAAAGACATTGAAGAGCTCTACAATAAAAAATTTAAATTTTTAAAGAAAAAGATTGAGGAAGATATCAGAAGATGGAAGGACATCCCATGCTCATGGATTGGAAGAATTAATATTGTGAAAATGACCGTCCTACCAAAAGCCATTAATAGATTCAATGCAATGCTAATCAAAATCCACATGACATTTTATACAGAATTGGAAAAAACCATCCTAAGATTCATATGGAAGCACAAAAGATCTTGGATAGTCAAAACAACCCTGAGCACTAAGAGCAATGCCAGAGGGATTACTCTACCAGATTTTAAGCTATATTACAGAGCTATAGTCATAAAAACAACATGGTACTGGCACAAATATAAATCCACAGATCAATGGAACAAAACTAAAGACCCAAA